CTATTGTTTGCCAATGACGCTCCAAACAAACCAGTGTTGTCTTGAAACCACCCCGACTTGCTTTTGCTTTCCATTAGAAGTGATCCTGTGCTGGAAAAAGGTCAGGAACCTCACCTAAGCCGGAGGCGAAGAAGTGTACTTTGCGCACCTGCTCTCAGCTGGTATGGAAGAGAAGAAGGAATTTGAAAACTTCGATTATCTTCAAAGTTGGGGTGCAGCCAAAGGACGCACCTCAGCTGAACATCCCAGTTTGACTGTTCTCACTGACGTGGCAGGTCGAAGCGGCTATAACACAGTGCTGGTCAAAACTATGCTCCCCCCTGGAAAATGCCGTAACTCGATTGCTTTTCAACTAATTGATTTGAAATTTGCTATAACTTGTGTTAAACAATTTTTTGTCAGTAAACAGAAGGGTGCTGTTTTCATGCAATTATTCAGAAAATAACAAAAGAGACAGGGCGTTTTTGGATTCTTGGCGCAGATACACTAAAGCGACTTATTGAATTTCGACTACGTAAATGCACAAAAGACTGCTAAAGCCAATTACTCTATCGAATAGTGAGGGCGAGCCTATATTCTTGGGCAGTCCTCGAGCATGCTTTTTCCAAAGTTTTCGATTTTTTCCTTAATAGTTAAATAGAAACGATGTTCTTTTTCCTTACTGAAAAAAGGTTGTTAAACACACAACTGCATAAAATTTCAGTTGATTTCATTAAGAACTAAGTTTACGGCCGGTTTCGGCATGGATCTATATTTTGTCCAGCACTGTAAGGCATTGGATAGACGGACCAACGTATACACGCATCGCAACGTCGCTCTCTAATCTTTAGAAATCAGTTTGATACTTGGAAAGGTCAGAGTTTCGGACTCATGTCCTCATACTCCTGAAGCAAAATGAAACAGAGCAGCCATTCAGGTAATGCAACTTATACAAAAGTTTGTTTTAAATTCAAAGTAGAAAGATAACTATAATGAGGTAAGGAATATACTCGGACTCCAAAAGAAGACTTTCTATGAATTGGAGAAGTGCTGAAAGCAGGGAAAATGCTAGATAAGCAAGAGCTTTGTATTGAAAAGCAAAGTTCTGCTGCTTTTTGCTATTTCAGCTCACTACTCATAATTGTTTACATTAAATGCTTGACTTTATCGTTTACCGGATTCTACATACAGGGTGTCCCAAAAGCATGTATGCATTGTTTGATTGTTAATATCTCTCTTCCCAAGAAGTCTTTTGCCTTGCTTCAGGTACCCTTTTGTAAAGCTGGCTTCAACTTAGATTTGGAGTATAGAACGAATCACTCATTTCTCTTCGTTACTGTAGGATTACGGTAGAAACTTCAAAGAGGGTTCTAAGCAATGAAAGGCCATATTTTGCCTCAGAAAGGAAACAAAACAGCCTGAAAATTCTTACACTAGGCTAGTTGGAGTTGTTGATTCTAACTGTGAAGTTCCCAACTTTTTATGATGCTTCATTAAGAGTTATGCCGGGTAAGAGGTAGCTGCCATTTTTTCAATGTTCCTGAAAAGTGCGGTTACGCCGTTTAGAAAGCTTTGCAATCTTGTGAATAGTTGAGTATTGAACTCAGCGTCCATAAAAACCCTATTATACAATTTTTCACATTTTTTGAAAAATTTTGAAACGACAGTTTTTTCCACATTGACACCATATGTTTCAAGTTTCTACCGTAATCCTAAAGTAATGAAGAGAGATGAGTGATTCGTTCTATACTCCAAATCTAAGCTGAAGCCAGCTCTACAAAACGGTGCCTAAAGCAAGGCAAAAGATTCCTTGGGAAGAGAGATATCAACGATCAAACAGTGCATACATACTTTTGGGACACCCTGTATATTCATTATACAACTTTATTGCTAAGAATATAATTTTTGATGTGTTTTTTGTATTTTTTTGAACCAAAAATCATTTGTCTTTATCCTTCAGAGGTTCAGCGTCAAGGAAAAATTTCCAATCCAATGTATAAGCGTTTCACTTACATCAGCTGCTGACGTTGTGGCAGCTGATGAAACTGATGGGTCTTTATCGTTGAAACCGGCACGGGATGGTAAATTTTATGTTAGAATTTGTTTAGAAGCGGTGCTTCACCGGGGTAGTGCGGTTCTCTACACATCTCCTTAGATGTCCCCTTCAATACGCAACTGCCCAAGCCCGAATCCCGTCTACTTTGAGAAAAGTGCGCTCAAAGTAGCTCGCAGAGGTCAATTTGGCGCGCGCTAGCCTACTCGCCGTGCTTCAAACTTCCTTCCATTCCTTCCAGACGACGGCGTTATTGTCAACGCGCCTAAATCTGTGAAAGGATAGCTGAAGCAGTAAGTCACATCTTCCGTGTTGCCCGTGCATAAACTTACAGATATAGAAATCCGAACCAAGTTTTGTGGAGTTAAACAAGGGAAAGAGGCTTGGGGTGTTCAAGTCTTAAAGCCTATCCCTATATTTTTAGCTGGAATTTTAGCCAACTAACATAGACAGATGGACTTTGGGTACACCTTGTTCATACAGCTCAAAACATCTCCTTAACTTCACAGCTCGAATTATTTCCATTAGCATTGAAAAGATCCTCGGAATCTTGAGGTACACATCCACTATGACTAACAGGTACTTGACATCATTATCTTTATCTTTATCTTTATCTATTACACTCGAAGTGCACCAAAAAAGAAAAAAAACGAGTAAAAGCACAGACCAACCTAGCATTACCTCACATCTTTTGAAGCATATGCTCTAAACTGCCCATTTGTTGGAGGATAGCGCAGGCCCTGCTTCAAAGGTTGACCACAAAAAAATTAAGGAGTTCCGATCCGACAATTGAAAATAAGCCATTCTAAAAATTATTTTTGAATTTTTGTAAAAAGGTCAGAATTTTGCAATCAGTTTCTTGAGAACAACAAGAAACCTTAGTTATGCTATGACCTATGTAACTAGCGAACAATATTTCCTAAAGAGTGCAAGCTTTTTAGCCAAAATTAGCTACTCAGACTGATTTCGTAGATTATCCCGACTTTTTTGGATTTTTTTATCCCGACTTTTTTGGATTTTTTTATCCCGACTTTTTTGGATTTTTTGCTTCCAAGAACTCTTTCTTCCCAGTAATAGAAAACCATTCTAAGAATTAGTGTTTCTATCCTACGGTACTCAGCAGGGACCGATTTTCATTTTACATTATAAATTATAGTGAACTGACTACGCTATGAATATAAAGTGAAGCTCACTCTTTAACACGAAGCTCGAAGATTAGCAAAATCTATGGAAACAAAAGTGTAACATACTTTTAAACAGTGTCTGCTCTCCAATTTGCTCAACCTTTACTGTAGTACTGCTTGTTTTGAAACACTATGTGAGTATGCTCCAAACAACAACATGTTTTGTGAAAGCAATGGAATCTTTACGTGAAACTCATTTGCAAGAGTTGATCCGAAACGAAAGATATTAATAAAAGAATAGCATTGCAAAGTTAGGCATGAAGAATTCTGGGACGCACTGGATAATTCACGTCCCTGAACCATTTACCTCTTCCTCCCAGTCCCATGACAAAGCTTTTCAAACCTGCTCAAACATGATCCTGCTCAGGCGCGAGTTTTGAAATCAACAATCATTTGGACCAAGTGGTAAACAACTGTCTCATCAGCTGACATACGACCACTGCGTTGATGAAGTCTGTATTAATATGATTGACGAACAACTCAAATGCGCATATTCTCTTCAACTGAAAAACTCAAAACTTTGAAATGTTCCATGCCCAGGGGCTTTGGCCGCTTCAAAAACATCAAGTTGATCTCAATATGGCCTTTCTTGGTGATTTCAGTAGGTGATGAGGTGGAGAACAAACTACAAAAATTCTCAGAAAATGCTGCCATTCAACACACCACAATATTTTCAGCATTCTTCCTGCCAGAAGATTTCAGAATTACAACAAACTATATTATAAAACGTGTGCTTGTATCAGTCATGCACTTTGTGCCGACTTTGTCGGCACCTTTCTTGTAACTTATCATTAACTCTCCTAAGCACTATAAAGGTCATACCATAAGCATGACCTGCTGTGATATGAGTATATTATTGCCCAGATGTTTGTGATACTACTTTACCACGCCTTCAATCCTCAGCATTCTACCACTGCACAAATGGGTGTATGTCGTCGGTTCGATAAAGCTTCAATAGCTTACGTGTTCTAATAACACACCAGGAGCCACCATACTCCACTACAGGCGCCACCCACCCGCCTAAGGCTACAATAAAGCCTACCAACCACCACACACTTTATGTAGTAGCATGAAAGAATTTATTGAAGTATCGAAAATTCTGAATTTATACAATGAAATCAAGCACATTCTTGAATTTGGAAGGATGCTGTAAAAATATATGCGAAATTATCATGGTTTAAGAGCTTCCTCATGTTATCAGCGATGTTGAGCAAACATTGTAAACAGAGTGGAAACGTATTGGAGTTCCGCAGAGACCTCCGACAGAAGGCAGAAACTACAATCAAACAGGGTCCTTCCGAAAAAGTTCTGGCCAGCTTCTGGCGAGCGTTGTTGTTAAGTGAATGCCCACGACGCACTGCGAAGATTTATGGCGAATAGCCAAAATTTATCGAAAGTCGAACATGGAACACCTTCCACAAAATAATTTGCAGGAACAGGCGAGTGTTTATATGAGTTCGCAGAATTACACTGCACAACACAGTATGTGTATGTGAAAGAGTGCCCAATAAAAAAAAAGCGGGAAAATCTCCACTTTTCCAAGAAATGAATGGCAACACAATGTGCTATTTTTAACTTTGTTTGGCATTTTCATTGCTTCAAATAAGATTTCGCAACGGGGCTTCTAGCTCATTTGCAAAAAAACTCAGTAATCGAGCTTGGGGTTTATTTTGCATTGTTTTAAGATCTTACACATTCCGAACCGCCTTCATCAGCTCGAAAAGATCCGTAGATGCAGTGTACTAAAAAAGCTTATTTGTCTGTGTGTTAAGCTTTAACGGTACATTTTCCAAAGCTTTATGGAAGAATGCTGCTATCTCAACAAATTTGTATGGAAATCTTCCAGAGAGCTCTGATTGATACAATTTCCAAAGTCTGATCTTACTCCGCTGAAACAGCTCAGTTAATGCTCACTCAATGACATTTTTTGCTTTTTTTTACCTTGTCCAGGAAACACCGCTACTTGATGTGGTGGCTTGTTTGGCTGCGCTGGAGTCGCAGGAGCAGGTTTACGTTCGTGTTTATGTGCTTTGTTACATTTGTTTTTACAGCACGGGTCTGTAAAATACAAGCATGTTCTCACCTTTGTTCACACTACAAAGCTGTAATTGTTACCGACCTCCACAATGCACGTGACACGAGCAGCAGCAGTGGCACTGAAATAGAAACTTTCTATATTCCATGTTCTAAGTACTACTTTACTGACTAGCGAAAGGAGAATTTCTTGAAGAGAGTGCACTATTCTTCCACATTATATATCAACCTACTGCTGATCATTGTCGAACCCTTCGTTTCTACCTGTCCAACTCTTCTTTGTTTAAACTTTGCATAGCCTTGGAACTTTTTGGTGATTGAGTTCATTCTAAAGTTTACTGACTCTGTGATGATGATGTGCCATGTTCTTTTGATGATGGTGTAATGCCTTGCATTTCTTGCACACGTAATATTTCATGGGCCTTTCGCATGCAAGACTATTCCAGTAATAGTCTTGAACAAATTGCAGACTTGCTGGACCTTGATGGAACTGAAATTCGCAAAAGTGACATACCTATGGATACGCGTTGTTTTGTTGGTAACATCACCTGACCGCATTTCTCACTTCCGGGATGATCCGGCTGTTCTATAGCCCACTTCTTGTAATTCAAAATGCTCCCATCTATCCATTCCCACTCATTTTTTGAATTAATACGTAGACCAATCCAAACGAATTCTTCAAACGAAGTCACACGACTGCCAGTAGATGTGATTTCTGCAAAAACTCTGACGTTGTTCGAATAAGATGCTTAGCTGAAATAGCTTGCTATGGATGAAGTTATTTTCTGCTTCGCTGTGTATGGAAACCAAATGAGCGCCGTGTCTTCGGCAAGTCGCCTCCGCAGCGTCATAATTCTTAGCATTCATTTTTACCTGAAAGTAGGAGTAAGTGAAGGGAATGACAAGAGCGTACATACCATATATTCGCATCCACCAAACTTCAACCAAACATCGTATTTCAAGCCGGCTGCAATGCTTGTGAATCGTCTAAGCTAGAAACACTCAAAATAATTTTTACCATTTGTAGGCTTGCGAGTGATTGGTCTGGGCGTAATCCTGCGTCTAGTTGTATATCTTGTAGACTTGCGCCTACTTGTATACTTACGTAAGGCAATGTGTCTCATCCTGCTATACATGGGTCTTTTGTTCAATCTATGCGAATGCATGTGTCTATATGCAGTATGTCTCATTCCGTTATGTATCGCATGGGATATATATGGACCCATGGACTCCCTATGCGGATGCATATGTGGTCTGCTTCTCGGCTTAATATCGATGTTCACATTCACATTCACTGGTCTCACTGGATTTCCTACGTTGATAGGCTGAGAAACCGAGTGTGTGGGGGATTTAGCCCCATCTAGAACATCTATCTTAGTGTGCTCTTCTATTCGAATGTTTAACGGCACCTTGCCCTTCGCAGGATTCTTAGCTGGTTTTTTATTGTGTTTCACATGCCCACGTACACGATGTCGGCCGTGAATCTTGACCTTGGATTTACTTTTAACCTTTACTTTCAGATTTTTTATTAGCTTCACTTCGGCAGGATAAGACACCTTTTTTGATTTCTTGACGATTTTCGTATGCACAGATATCCGTGCTGGTCTCTTGGTAGTTTTCTTTTGCACAGGCTTTTGTGTCGTTCTTTTGGTGGTTGTCTTCTGCACTGGCTTTTGTGTTGATTTAGTGGTTTTCTTATGCGTAGGTCTTGATGCTGGCCTTTTGGTGGTTTTCTTAGGCAGAGGTTTTTTTGTTGGTTGGCTTTTCTTGGGCGCAGATACACGCACGGCCTCGTCAAGCATGTTTTTCTTGTCAAGTTTCACTGTCGAATCTGCTGAGCCCATGTAGTTCCTATTGATAGGCTGAGACACCAGATATATGTCTGGTCTAGGCTCTTCAACAAGTACAGTTGCTCCATTGTCGATTCTCTGTATGATAGTTTGAGGAATTACATTTGCTACTTCTGGTTTGAGTTGTATGTTTGTATGTGATGTATCAAATTGGATCTCCGGAGGTGAGGCGGCGATGTTGACCACATTAGCAACTTCTGTACGGGCTTTTGCTTCGTAGGTTTCGCGCACAGATTTGCTGTGAGTAAATTCCTGGGTCATCTGTTCTTCATCAGGCATTTGTTGTCCCGCAACGATTTGTGAGAAGATTGCCAGCAAAATTAGCAGCATAACTGAACGTATGTATATGTGTGCACTTCACCACAGAACGATTCGAGAGAGAGAAAAACGTCTACTTTCTGATCTCTTGTTCAATCCGCATTACGTTCATGACGCGGCATAAAATCTGATGTTCGTTTAAGAATTTGAGGGATACATTAGGTTGATACGAAAATTCTGTTGCTTCGATTTGAAAAATTCGTCCTTTCTATGAGAACGCATTTACACACCAAAAAATCACCAGATAGAAAAATTCATCTGCTTTCCTATTAGCTTCAGAATAATTTATTTACTCTAAAATGACAGCTATGCGTCTTTTTAACGACAACGGACGAGATAAAAATTCGCATAGGAGATCCACTCTAACTCTGGATTTTGGAAAATAAATCGTCAAAAATCTGGGACGCCGCAGAAAAACTTGAAAACATATTTTTTAGATTCTACTATATGTGCTTTTAAAAGTACCAAGTTTGCGTTGATCGAGCTTTTCTACGAAAAGTTATGATTTTCGAGGAAAATGCCGAAAAAATTAAAATTACCATTTCTTACTGCTGGCTAAAAAGCTTTTGGTAGACGTTCTATCAACACAAACTTTGCACATTCAAAAAAAGCAGGCAAAATAACCTTAAAATCAAACTGCTCCGACTTCCAGTGCATGGATTTTTCACGACCAAACAAAGAACGGCAAAAATAATTTATTGCTTCTTTTCCACTTTTTTCATAAATCATAACTCTTTTTAGATAGGCTTGATTAGCACAAACTTGGCACCGCTAGAAAAAGCTGCTCACGTACACTGTAAGATACATGCTCCCAAATTTTTTCTGCGGCGTTCCAGAAGTTTGACAATTTATTTTCGGAATTGGGAGGCAGAGTGGTTTTCCTATTCGAATTTTATCTTTGGACTCCCTTGTCGTCAAACAGCGCAAAGATGTTATTAGAAAGCAAATGGATTTTCCCTCTAGCAAAATCTTTTATAAGCAAATACGCTCACATTTTGACAGTTACGAATTTTTCAAAATCAAAGCCTCTTTGTGCTTTTGAGATAAAGTTCCGCAATCTGAGAGCTCAGAATACTCACAGATTCACGCAACGGCGACTAGTCCTTAGATTTGTTTTTGTTGTTTGATCGCAAACCCGAATGTACAAGGGCTTCATATGTCAATGCTTTAAAACTGTAGGTAAGTTTTATGGACGTTAATGTGATACCCTAACCCTACAGCAGCGAAGGGCAACCGGTGCTTTGCTCTACATACAAATCCAAGTTAGAGATATCCCTACAGAATGGCAGCAGATTAGCAAAAGACATCAAAGCAAAGAGTTATTTTAGTAAGCACATTTTTGGGACTCCTTACACGGTAATTTTAATTCAATTAGGCGGAAATTGGATTTTCCTTGAAAGATTAACGCCGTTTCGCAGCTACAGTAAATCATCATATCGTGCTAAGAGCCCATGTTTGCAACTGCTCATTCTCCTGAGAGCACTCTGTTATATAGAATGAGAAAGTTTGTGATTTTCACTGTAGTAGACCTAAGAGAGCCGAGGTCGCGAAAAGATTGCACTCACGTCACCTTTAGAAACATTTTAATGCTTGTAAAAGAAGCAATACAGTGAATTACAAATTATTCATTAATTCAGAATCAGGACTTAGATTCGTCCGGTCCAAGATTTTCGGAGTTGTTCAATTTTCCTTCTGAGGCGATCGCTTTCGATTTTCTATAATCCTTGTCAAAATTTCTACCGTAGTCTTACAGTAATGAAGAGGATTGGTGATGCGGTCCATAATGTAAATCTAAGTTGAACCGCGCTCAACAGAATGGTACCTTAAGCTCGGCGAAAGACATGAAAGCAAGAAAATTATTAGCGATCAAACAGTGTTTACATTTTTTGGGACACCCTGTATATCATATTACTGTATGTCATTCTTATACTGAGAAGGCTCAAGAACCACGCGAATAGATAGTTACGATGTGATAGAATGTGCAGTTAATCGAATTCGAAAAAGCGTCTGGATATTTTGTAGAATAATAAAATATGTTGGCAAAACATTGGATAAGCAAGGACTACCAATAAGCAAGATGCTGGTCTTTGCCGTGATAGCTCATTTTAGCTTTTATATATCTCTGTTGCCTAGACATAATTGCACGGAATCATTACAAGATTTCACACATATTTACAGTTTACAACTTTATTGCACTATAAAAAAATAATTGTTGCACCTACATTTGTATTCATAACCTTTTGAGGCTAAGTATTTCATTTCGTCGCCATTATTCAGGCTGTTAGCAGCTAAGCATCCGATTCCGACATTCAAAATTGAATGACTTGCATCGAGAGCCGATGATGGTGCGTTGACATCTGGACGTAAGATGGTCAGCCCATGGGGGCAGGGCTCGGCACGAGGTGGCTAGTTGCAAATGAAAAAAACGAAGTCCTTCTTGGTTTCACATTGAAAGTACGACATCCGCCATGAGATATTAAAAGAGAAAATACATGAAAAGGAACGGAACCAAGCAAAACACAAAAAAATACGCCAGAAAAGCATCAAACAAATGCGAGGATATCCGTATTCTCCGAATTGGCGGCGTGATTTATCCAGCGAACAACACTTCGCACCTAGAGCAGCGTTGCCGCCGCCATTCTAAATTCTCAAAGAGCTGTAACTAAGGGGGAGGAGGGGGTTTGAGGCAGTTTTGGAACCAACCTGTAGGGTTTGGGATGTAGATGAAATTTATGTGAAGAAAGTAAAAAAATTATGTGAGAAAGGAAAAATTTATGACTTTTTCTTCCCTAAGCCACCTCAGGTGGCTATCCAGGTGGCTTGAAAGCCACCTAACTCCGAAAAAAGTTGAGCACGCCCTCAGTTCACATAATTTTTTCATAATTTTTCATACTTAGTCCTGACTCCCCATTGCCCATCTACACTCCTATTTTGGTGTCATTTCATCGTCACTTCGCTGTAAACAACCCCTTTGTTCGTTTGGCAGAGCATGCTGCTGGCATGCAGTCAGCGTGCCGGCGACAGACCGAAAGTCAATGGTATGCTCTTCCGCAAAAACGATATCCCCTTTGCTTTTTTCCCCAAAAACGAAGTCCAGCTTGCTTTTCAAGCCACCTGAGCCGAGCCCTGCATGGGGGATCTAGGGCTCACCGACGCGGCGCTCTTCAAGTGCGATAAAGAGGGAAGGTCTCCGTTTATGTAAACTGTCTTGGTGCCGTAGATGTTTTGCACAAAGCTGTCTTCATAGCAATTTGTGTGTAAATGTTTTTTCTTTTTGCCCGTACAAATGTCAAGTGATCAACATGACCACTGGCGCATCGACTGAGATGTCGCCGTTGCTGGTTCCGCACCAGCGATGGGCGAATCGCTCAAAAGAATTCCCTTTGTGAGAAGTTTGGTATAATTTTGCAAATGCGAAACTCAATTAGAATTATTTTATCTCACACAAGGGCTTTTTTCTGCATGAGAGAAGAAGTTGGGTACGAAAGTTCGTGCCGTTTTTAGACCTATCCTGAAATCTTTAAAATAAAGACAGACAAACACTTTAAAAACGTTCTTTGCAGAATTTCTTTCTCTTATCACCAGTAATGTTTTTGTTCGGATTCCTTTGATGGTCGCTTCAAAAACCGCCAGAATCTTCAATCCACGGTTTTTTACCTACCCTAACTTCTACTAATTTTCCAATTTTCGCTCTGGACTTCTGAAAATGCCTTGATAAATAACAGGTAAACAAAATGCAATTTGATGCACTTTTTTTGGCATCGACAGCTAGGTTTTTAAATTTTCAGAATTATCATTTTGATTACTAATTTTGATAGTCGTCTATCCCAAACCTCGTAGAAACATTAACGCAAACAGCTAGGGTGTTATTGGATGCAGCTTCTTCTCTTCCTTTTGACAGATGCCTTTCCTTTTTGATTTGTAAAGGCACAGAGGAAAAATTTTTCATAACTCTAGCTTTTTGGTCCGTCCCGGCTGCACCCGAAAATTTCAAAATCAACATTTCGGAGAGGTAAAAACTCATTTATATGTAGTGTTTAATCATAATCGATTTTTGGGAGTCCCAATTTGCGAAGATTTCATAGTGTCTGAACGTCATTATATTTTCAACTTCGTAAAAGTGTAGATTATGGCAAACTTGTTTCTAAAAAGGCTAAAAAGCCAGATATTGATGCTAAAAAATTGAGTTTTGTAGAGCTTTGTTCACACTATCTATGTGTTGTCAGCGCTTTTTCAAAAGTCTAAAACGAAACTTTTAAAAAATAGCTAAACTCAGGGTACGTAAAATGCATGGGCAGGAGATTGTGGCGATTGTTTGAAAGAACATCGAAGGAACATTGTCTAACAATCAACAATCAGTATGGTCTACGTTTCGGCGGAGATCGTCTTTATCAACACCTTTAGCAATACTGTATAGTGCACGCCCACCACTCTGAGAACGTGTCAGACCACTACTCGTCGTATAGTGTGATGGAAATGAGGGAAGGTGATGATGTATTTTCATCACACTAAACGGCGAGTAATGGTTTGACACGTTGTCGGAGTGGTAGGCGTACACTATACAGTAATGCTGAAGGTCTTAACAAAGGCGATTTCCGCCAAAACGTAGACGTACTGATTGTTGACTGTTACTGACAATAAAGGAAGGAACTACCATGAAAGTCTAACATCATATACCGTTATTGACACTATACCAAGATATAAACAGTCGAAGGTAGAATATTATGAATACACTGTTGGATCGTCATTATCTCTCTTCTCTAGAAGTCTTTTGCTTATCTTCAGGTACGATTTTGTGGAGCTGGTTTCAACTTAGACTTACAGTAAGGGTTGTTTCATACTGCCGCACTGACTGCAGCAGTCTGCACTGACCGCAGCTGACTGCACTGACTGCGCAGCAGTGCGACAGTCTGAAACAAATCTAAGGAGCAAATCACCAATCTTTTTTCATTACTGCAGGATTACGGTAGGAACTTCGAAAAAATGTTAAGCCATTGAGGACCCTACTTCGCTTTAGAA